TTCTGTGCGCTTATTTTCATAGTAGAACCTGTAGTAGAGGCTGTATAGATCTCGATAACTTGACAGTGCTCATATACATACATTCATACTAGTATTACACATAAGTTTCATACACATGCATATGTGGACGCATGCATCGTACGCAACTGTACAGTTTCACACACTAGACAGTTTTTGGTCTCAGTCTCTTTCTCTCTTTGTGTTCCGTGTCTGCTATCATACTTATTTACTTCTAGCTAACTTTCTGGTCACAAAGTTTTAACCAGTCAGGGTGGAACATTCAAGAATCTTGAAAATGAGCATTGTAAATTTTGCTGTACTTCGCTCGTCTGAGGAATGATGCCTTTAGCGAGCCTTGAATTACTTGTGCAAATCTTTTATATTAATTTGTTAGTCAAGTTGGGAATCGACTATTAGTAGCAAAAACAGCAAAATTGAAATCAAAATGACTTACATCACACTTATAATCAATGAGAAAATCGTGATTTATTCATCAATATATATATATACAATCGCACAAAAAATATGTCGCTGTGCGCGAGGAAAGAACCACGACGTGAGCAAAATTCTCATTCAAAGTAAACAAAGCTTAAAAACTGAATCCATACCAATTAAACTTGAACCTTTAAAGGTTCGCTTGAATCAAGACAACGAGTTGATATAAAACATGACCTCGATGATTTAATTAATAATCAAAAAAACTACTTATGCAGGAATACTGATGCCTGGACTGAGGCTGGCGAACTCAGGCCAAGTGAGAGAGTGGCTGCGTTGAGCACTTGAGCCGACAAGGGCAAATAAGGAATAACATTGCTATGCTTCCTCTAGCAAACTCGGGCAAAGCGAGAAGTTACGTAAGGTAAAGTACCCAATTGTGGTCCCCTAAATTTTGAGGTCAGCAATATAATAAATATTGTTCACACAAAACACCGATAGTATGCTAAAGTTATTTGTTTAATTCATTTTAAATGCCTTTTCGAATGAAACTTTACAAAATTTACTAAAAATTTTTGCTCATTTATTTAATAATAAGCTTTTAAAAATAAGACCTTTAAGATCATATTTTTGAGACTAGACGGCGAAGTACCCCAGTTGTTGGACCATGGATATTCCATGGCAAAGACCTTGCGTACCCCAATTATTGGACCGCTGTGTGTTTTCGCATTATTTACGCAGAGCAAGTATATTATGAGCTTTTTATGAAGATTTAGTAATTTATATTTACTATTATAGCCTTTTATTTTAAATATTCATTTAAGTTATGATATCACAGTAAAATTGTAATGTTACAAAATATACCTAGATTTAATTTTAAAAAATGAACACTTAGGTATACAGTTACAAGAAGTTCTCGTGATACATTTGGAAATTAACTATCAGATTTTACATCGTACTGCAAATCATAAATCTGTTTTTGAATATCTTTAAGTTTCATTTCAAATCTAAATTTATCATCTTCAATATTCTTTTTCTCTTCGATCAAACCTCTTTTAGTTTCAATAATTTCTTCTTTTTTTATTTTTTCTGCAATAACTTTTATTTTTTCTCTAAAACCTTTGATAACATCTCTTGAATCCATTTCTGTCTGAAAATATAAGTACCTATGTGAAAAACAGTAAGGAAAATTGAAAGTGTGCATGCATCTTTTGAACTTTTATCATCAATAAAGGCTTGAATTTAATGAAAACTTAAAAGCATTAGCAACTTCTTCATAAGTAGGGTTATGTGAATCTGTTTATATTAAGTAATCGTACAACAATCATCACTGAGTCAATTGTGTGATTGAGACGGTAAATTATACTTACAGTAGCACTTTAAAACTGATTTACTGACGATTAAATCATTGTAACCAGCAAACTAAAAAAAAAATACACTCTCACAATTGGGGTACTTCGCTTGAACAGTGGGACTGAGCAAAAGGGCCGGTAATTATGGACCGTTGTAATTGCGGGCCAAAAACTGGGGTACATTCACCATAAGGACACCTTTTGATGGACCATCGAAATTTTTAATGAAATTCTATTTTTTCAATTTTTTATTGGTAATACGTCAAATCCTTAAACTATAAGCTTTCGATTCATATGAAAAACATTGCACAAAACATAATACAAAATTTTAAACCTGTATTTCAAAGTTGACGAAAAGCGCATTAACACCTGCACAACTAAACCGACTTGCTATACGCACTGCATATGACGATAATAAATACGTTGAAAAACATGCTAATTTTATGATAATCGGGAGAAAATTTATTTAATTCTTTGCTCAATGCCTTATGTTTTGATTTACTATTAACTTACAGGCTTTAAACTTGATTAACAATTATTTATTAATGGTTAATTCAGATATAGACCACTAACTGGGGTAAGGGGACCACAATTGGGTACTTTACCTTACTGGTTGGCTTCTAACCAGAGAATAGGCCGAGACGCTCGCTCGGAAGAAGCTCAAGCCGTCTTGGTTAAAGAGAGAGAGAGAGAGAGTGAGAGAGCCAAGAGTAGGGAAAACAGACACACCAAACTGGATCTCAAACGTTCTCAACATTATGAAATTTACAGATGCGGTATTGAGCGCCTGTGTGAGCCCCCTCCAGGCCCCTCTGACTTGTAGTGCCCACTCGCTCAACCGCATGTGTCACGCGCCTTTGTCTAGATCGTACTAATTTGAAAAAACGTGTCACGTCCAAGTATCTTTTAATGATGACATCAAGAGGCTTTTCTTGTTGGGATTTTTTTTGGAAGTTGTAGTTTGACGCTCATGAGTCCTGATAATTTTAAAATTATCAGTGATGTTGAATATTTTTTCTTAAATTTTAAAATTCTGGTAGCCAAATTCAGACGTATACAATAGCACAATGCCATGTGTTCTCTGCTCAAACTTGCTTGTAGTGCGTTCGCACTACTTCATAACAAGTTTAAGCCAGTTGCAACTTATGTAGATACGTAATTCATTTTAGCTCAAAGGTAAGAATACGTTATACTGGGTAGGACGTCATACTTGAGTGAAAGAGGCTTGAGGGTGGATCTGAACAAATATTTCTTTTTATTTATGACAATATTTTGACACTTTGGACGAGGACCATCATCTTTTTGACCTTGCAAAAGAGCTGATATACCCTTTTGACATCCTGAGCGAAGACTAGGCTATTTTTCTAGTCAGTTCAAAAACTATGCCGTTTTTTGGTCCCAGATGAAAACTATGCCTTTTTTTCGAGCCCAACTGAAAACTGCGTTTGTTTTCTTTTTAGCTTAGACGAGAACTATACCTTTTTTGCATCCTAATATAAATTATTTTTTATGTTTTCAAACAAGTACAAGAATATTTTTTGATAGTTAAGCGTAAAAAATCAGTTACTTTCCTAAAAATTAAAAATACATCAATAAAACACTATTAATTAAACACATTCACAGCATAAACAAATTTTTTCATAATTTTCCTAAAAGTAGAGGCTTTAAATTTTCTAAGTAAATAGTCTTTTACAAATTTTGGGGGCTACTTGTCTTGAGACTGGAATAGCGCTGAGATCACTGAATCTTTTTTTCAGGCTATAAATAATCATCTTTTTATAGATATTTTTATAAGAATTTCTCTGTAAATTAAAGTGTTTCAAAATTTAATACTTAAACCACTTAATTTCATAAGTTTAAAGCTTAAAGTTCTTAGTGTAAGACACTTTGATGTACAGTGTTAAACTAAGTAGTAGCATTGATAAAGCTGCACTCTTTGTAATTCAGAGATCGTGTAAATCATAATGCATTAAGTACAATGCTTACATGCTGGCTGTTAGGTATTGGAAGGGGGTGGATAAGTTAATTTTATGTAGCCACTTTTTCCTACATGCATGAGTGTAATTTATTTACAACTAAGGCATATTTAAACCGTATACAAGTGTATTGTGCAACAGACATAATACAAGAATAAGAAAATATGAATACATTTCCAAGCTCAAAAAAAAGGCATAGTTTTTGTCTGAAGTTAAGAAAAGGGCATACTTTTTGTTCAGGATCCGATAAGGGTCTTCGTCCAGACTAGGGCAAAAAACATAGTTTACATCCTGGCTTAGGAAAAGGGCATAGTCTACGTTCAGCCCTTAAAGAAGGGCATAGTTCTAATCCAGGGCGTTTATTTGGTGTTCATTTATTGTAAGCTATTTTTTTACTCACTCCAGTATCAATGGCCGAGTAAATAACGCTCCTGAACTAGTATCACAACAAAAATGATTTGTACGTATGAATTCATACAAATGTGGTGTATTCTAAAAAATAACAAGTTATAAACTTATACAACTATGGTAGAAAACTCAGCTACGTTTTTGTATTAAACTTAATACGTACCATAATTTCGGAGATGTAATACTTGTAAGACTGTAATTATGTGAGCATGGATAATTTATTTCTCCTTACAAAATGCTACTTGAGCAACTCAATTTTCAATTAGATTGTTTGGGATTTTGACAGCTCACAAAGTTTTAAAAGCAGATGTAAGTGCATCTCCACTTTACAAATAAAATACTAAAGTTGTGTTGCAACCAAACATTCGTTGAGTTGTAAGTCACTTAAATAACTCTACTTTCTCTTACACCATAAAGTATAACTAGTTTTATATACAAATGCATTTTTTAATGATCCAAAGTAAAGCTTCCTATTGTAGTGTAAATTGATATCATAAAATATTCCTAAAATCATCTAAATCTTAGTCTCACTAACAAGATTCAGCAGTTACAAATTATGGCCACTCTACAATACATGACCATATTAACAGTAGTATAGAGCTGGTAGTGTTAATGATATGACATGTCTAGCTATGTTTTAAATAATTAAAATGTATACTATTCATAAATTTTACATCAATAACTCAAAAACCAGTTAATTATATAAAACAATTGATTATCAGAAACATGCAAAATAGCTAATATGATTTCTAAACTTATTAAAAAGTAGATAATAAATTACTATGTCTTATAATTATATTGTGGGACTATTACATATGTTACAATGTAGATAAATCCAGTAAGGAGCCTGTCTTCGCCATCGTCTACAACGGTCACCCCACTCCCACCCCTAGCGCTGGCACTAAGCCCTATGTCAGTAGGTTCTACAACTTCGAGCTCAAAAACTTTATCAACGATTTCAATAGCATCGCCACATGCAGCAAATACAACAAGATTGCAGTCAAGCCCAGTAACATTATCTTGTAGCAGTAATCAGCAGCAGAAAAATGATACACCAGGAAGAGACAAAAATCGTAAAAAGTCTAAGACTAAAAGCCAGCCCAAGACGCGAACAATAAAGTTCCATGAATACAAGGTATAATAATTGTAGTTTTACTTTCTTACACATCCTTAGGTATGTAATAATTATAATTTTTCTCTTTACTAAACTGTTTTAAAATGTACCTACTACTTAATTTTTCTTAATATTGTAAAGTTTGCATACGTTTTTTTGAGAGTTTTATCTTTTGGTATCAATTGCACTGACAAAATCCAAATATAATTTAAAAAACGTTCACTGAACTGATGACTAATAAATGGGTTATAATTATTGCTATAGTTATCTTTATCTTCAGTAACGTATTACCAATGACGTTGTTTATTTAAGCTATTATAATTTTTTTTGTAAGGTTGTAACTTCTCAAAGTACTTTTACAACTATCAAGTTGCATAGGAGCCTGAAAAGACAAGTTTGAAATAGCAAACAAAGCCTCGGCAATTGTGCTACTATTTACTTCTGATTTACACACTTGATTTGACAAATAGTGAAAAACAACATAGTCCAACAAAAAAAATCTTATTCTGATGGACTTGACTACTGTAACTGTATATTTTGGGGGTGGGGTCAAAGTCAAATTCAGGAAATTCGCTAAAACAGAGTTATAGCAATGCCTATATGTTTTTGAAGTCGCGGAACACAAATACACTCTTTTGATTGACTAACTGCTGTATAGTTCAGTACTATTTACAACACTATTATGTTTTTTAAAACAAATCAGTGATGCTCTAAATTAAGCCTCCTTTTCGGATTGTGATTGGCTGTTAAGCGAGTGGCATCATTTATTTAAATTTTTGTAGTTTGATGAGGTTGTGAAAAAAACTTATTAGGATATCGCGTGAAGAGCGTTGTCATATTCTTGTCAGTGTGAAGTGTATATTTTGCTTAAAAACAGTTCACTACCACCTCTAGGTATACAAACTCATTTACTGCCTAGAATTTGAGAAAAGCTCTGTACTTCGATGAAATAAGAATTTTTGTGGTGCTCTATTATATTAAGGTCATATAGAGGCCTTGAATCATGCTGGTACATGGTCTTTCGTGATTTGACCTTGAAATGACTTTGACCCTGACTTAGCAAAGTCCAAAGAACCCCGAATTCATGTTACACGACTTCAAAAGTATATAGGCATGACTATAACTCTATTTAGCAAATTTCCTGAATTTAACCTTAAAATAACCACAACCTTGATAGGGTTAAACGAATGCTAGATTCAGGTTCAGCAACCCCAAAAGCTACAGTTCCAGTGGTGAAGTCAGTTGAAATAATTTTTTTTTTGTGGCTTTGTGTACTTATATTTTGTTCTTTGTATCGTGTATTTTAGTTCAGTTAAGTATCTTTAATCCTATTTCACAGCGTTACTGACAAACATAGACCAAAAAGTCGATACAATAATAAAAATGCGATGTGTGAATCTTGGAATTCTTTAATTAACATTTTTCCAGACTCGACATTCATAAAAAGTGGTCTTACCTTTTTTCTTAGCCAGGAATCGAAGTTTTCCAATGCGTGTTCAGAATAGGCGTATACCTATAATCAAGCCGTACTGCCAATCTTGAACGTAAACACGTTGGGTCTGTACCAGAGTTAGGGTTACGGTTAAAAAAAGTAATTGAATTTTTTAATAAGTGTAAAATATAAATAAGTAGCTACGGGTCATTTAAAAATAACTAACATTTTTTACTTAAAAAATTACATACTTTCGATTATTTACCTTGTGAATGTGGATTATCAAATAAATAGCTATTTTATAAGAAAAACAAGACCTGCAACTTAATTTCATTATTTCTAATAATGAATCAAGCCCAATTTAAGTATAGTTTAGAGCTCAAACAGAAAAAAATAAAAAGTGAGATGTCAGACCAAAATATGACATACTTTTTAATTTTTTTTTACCGTCTGTTATAGGTTAAAAAAACAATCTTCAAACTAAGTGATGAACGTAGTATTTATTAAAACAACTATTTAGTCCAATAAATACGGTAGGAGACTTCAACCGTTTTTGGACTCCCCTTGATATTAAGCTGTAGACTCAAGTTTTTTTAACAACTTGTATTATTAAAAATGATCATACATAAATAGTTAGTGATTTTGGTTATAATAAATTAAGAAATCGCTTGATAAGAGTATGAGTAAATTACACATTGCCTAAGCGATTTGTGTAAGCAGTAAGTAATAATTAAGCGTTTAGATTTGAACAATTACATCATTATTTAATAAACATCATTTAAAATATTTAGTCCTTGTTAGTTGATACACAGAAAACGATGACGAAAGCAGTCCAACAAATAACACATTGGGGTATTTGAATGTGTTTAGTAACCAAATACTTTATCTTAAAATTATGTTAAAAACGGAGAGATTTAATTTTTATTATTAGCTTACAAAAAAAAGTGCTCGGGATTCAAAAGTCAAGTATTAAAAAAAAAGGAACAAAGTAGTATCATAGACTATAAATCCTAAGATTAATGCGTTTTTTTAAGAAAAATTTTTTTCTTCGACACAATTTTCAAATATTTGTCCAAACTTTTTTCGTGTAAATTAAGTAGTACTTTTTGTTTTGAGCAGCGATTGAAAATAACACCCAAAATATTTTTTTGTTTTGTTGAGTACAACTTTTGAATCAAAAAATACTTTTTTGTGGCATTATAGAGAAAAGAAGATTTTTCCATAAAAAGTTGTTACGGAATGAGCACACGATGCAGTTGAATAAGGTATAATGTTTAACCTTGACCGGACCACTTTTGCCCGGATATCCTTGGTGACACTCTCTGTAAATGATGTATGCGAATCTCGTCTACCCAGACATCGCCGAGGTCAAGTATCGGTGACCTGTATCGTCGTCGCTTCTCGTGACTATCGTAAACACGGTACAAGGGGAAAATAGGTAACACCAAGAAAGGAACAGTTGCGAGTATTATGTTGAAGTATTATGATATATTAAAAGAAATATAAAATATGAAGGAGGTATCGCACGTTGAGCGCACATACGTTAAACTCCACTACATAAAAAACTTAACGTTTTAAAATCAATTTTGTGTCTTTGGAAGTAAGAAATTGTATCTCATGAAACTAATTTCAGTTTTCTAGTACTTATAACAAATATAAAAAGCTGTTGTATGAAGTATAAAAAAGCACATAGTTATTTTGCATCTTGAATGTGTGAACGGTTTGCGAAGTGATTTCATAATGAATTGGATATTATAATATGTATTAATGGCTTTGCCCGAGACTTACTAAATGGAACACCGTAGTATGTTGATATGTAATGTAAAACGTTTCCAGTTAAAAATTTTACATCTATTCCTAACACTTCTTAGAACGAAAATCTTCTTATTAAAAACATATAAGCTTGGAATCCACATAGTTTGGTCAAAAGTAAATAAAATATTAGTATGCTGAAAAGCACCATGCGTTCCTTATGCCATAAAATAATCGTTGGCACTTAAGGGTCGTTGATTTGCAGTTTTTCTCATATAATCGACGAAAAGGGCTGTTTTTGAAAGCTATAAAGATTTGAAACTTAAAAAAAATATGTAATTAAAAGAAGTTTTTTTCTCTTATCTCACAACTTTATTACCAAAGCAACAAAGACCTGGAGCTTAATCTCTATATTTTATGTCACCATAAAAATAAAAATACATATTCTACTAATTTAAGAATCTGAAAAATTTAAGAGATTACTGTGAGGGTACAATAAAAAGATAATCTCTCACGCAATGGATTCTTTATTTATTGATTTTGATGCTGCTGCTTTAACCTCGGTAAATGCCCTGCATCAGTTTCTTGACGCCTGAAATTGTGTTCGTTAGATGCATTTGAAGTATTCCTGATTCGTCCTCTCTTTACTTTTGGCATGGTTCAGACTTTTGTAAGCCCTTGAGGCTATTTTTTTTTTTTAACTTTCTAAAGTTCTAACATATTTGTTGGCAACGCAGTTTGACGTCCGATGGCCCTAAAAAAGTATGGTGAGCTTCTTAAAGGAGTTTCCCCTTTATTGACTAGATTTGCTGTAGAAAACTATAGTACCGTAAGCATAATTCTCAATGCATTCTATACATGTATATGTGAGTTTTAACCTAGTTTTTTTGGTTGTTTTTTCATTTATTAGTAATTTAAAATTTACCAAGTGGTTATTTAAAGAACACTAATGTAACCCTTACATATATTCTTTTTCTTATAAAACAATATGACCTAAATACTGACGTTATTCATTCAGATATTAACATTTAAAGGGGTAAAAATGCGTACACCCACGAGATGCCATATTAAATTAAAAGATACATTGTCTTTAATAAGTCGTTTGCAGAGCTGTGAACAGTCTTGAAATTTTAATTGGAGCTTTGTTTTGCAATTATTTACCTACATTTCAAATATTATAAAAATGTTAAAGTTATTATACATAAGGGGGATACTCTTTTATATAAACTCTTTCTAGACTGGTCTCCAGTAAACGGGATTGCTCAATCTATACCTCAGGGTGATTTTCTCTGACCTGTTATTGTAGTACCACACTCATTGGAAGGAAAACTATAACGTTTAAGGCTTTGGAACTAGTTGCAAGGCTCTTTCCCGACGTCTCCTGGTATAACACCAAAGACGTTGGTGTCTAAATTACTTTTTTTTTGCAGAGTCAGTTGTTTTGGTGATCTTAGGTAGGGAGATTGATTCATGATGCTTGCCTGGGACTGTCATGTTTGCTCAAGTTTATTTTTCCTTCATAGCTGTTAGGTTTTCCCAGTGCAGACTTTGGAGAGAATCGGTGATTCCTGGTTAAATATTCAGAATCGAAAGGGTAATATAGGGTCGTCAGTTACCGGGTTACCAGCCTTGCGACATAAAACTTCGCTCGTGACGTCTGCCAGTGAATGACTGATTTGGTTTAATAATGGCTGTCTTAATATAGCCTTTTAGTCGACGAATCGTTTCTAGAAATGGTATTAAAAATGTATTTATTGACAAGGTAGCTTACTTTTAGGTGGCCCTTAAAAGAACCGATAAGATTGATAATTAAGTAGGAAAGGTATACGCTTATAAA